TATGTTATTTGGACCCAAAACAAGTCGGCTATAAAGTGCCCGCAGGTGTCAAGAAGACCGACACCGGACTGGAGGCCGATCTCCACCTCAAAGATACGGCCAAACGTACCCTCAAATCCATGCCATCCATAGAGAGCCTCAAGTTTTCGGTCAAATATATGACCGAAAATATACTTCGGTTCACAATAAGAGATCCGGCGGTCAAGCGATACGAAGTTCCCGTTCAACAGGTGTTTAATTTGATGGACAGCACTGAGAGAGACGAGCAAAAGCGCAGGTATGCCGTCGACGTCGGCACTGATCTCAACGACTTTCAGTTTACTATCACTCGGAAAGACACCAAAACTAAAATGTAAGTTATATTTGTCATTGAAATAAAGTAAACGTGTTATATAATTCTCTCTCTCTCTCTCTCTCTCTCTCTACCAGTTTTGACACATCTATCGGAGGTCTAGTATTTGCCGATCAATTCCTACAATTGGCCACTAATTTGGCCACAAATAATATCTACGGCTTCGGCGAAAATGTGCACCAAAGCCTACGACATGATATGACTTACAAAACATGGCCGATGTTTACCCGAGATAACCCTCTCGGAGAGGTATATAACAAATCATATTGATTTGATTTAAAATTTCACTTACATGGTATTAATAATTGTTAAACTAATTGAAAAATGTTCTCGGAATGTTTTTACAATTCCTAAACCCGATAGCATATGAAAAATCTCTACGGCGTTCACCCGTTCTATACTGTACTGGAATCGGATGGCAAAGCGCACGGAATACTGTTTCTCAACAGTAACGCTATGGGTTAGTGTTAACCACATGATCATATTTTATATGAGGTTGCAAATTAAGTTTCATTACTAATAGTTCATTTATATTTTGATAGATTACACACTTCTACCAGAGCCAGCTCTGTCATTGAAAAGCATCGGGGGTGTTTTGGACTTTTTCGTGTTTGTGGGCAATAATCCGGAGCACGTGATACAGTTGTACACATCAGTGATCGGTCGGTCAACAATGCCTCCCTTCTGGGGTCTGGGCTATCAATTGTGTCGATACGGGTTCACTGGCACACAGAATGTACGCGAAGTTCTCGACAGGAATATTAAAGAAAAAATACCCTTGGTTAGTATTAATATAATATAAGCTCATTATGTCTATGCTTATAATATTTACCATAATTAACATGAATGAAATGTTTTAATTATTACACAATAGGATGTCATGTATATCGACATCGATTATATGGATAAGTACGAGGATTTTACGTACGATAAGAATAAGTTTGCCGGCCTCCCGGAGCTATTCAAAACGAGTATTGCCAATAACCATGTTCATTGGACTCTGATCCTGGACCCGGCCATCGAAGCTAATAACCCAAACTACACAACATTTAACGAGGGTTATAAACAGGACGTGTTTATTAAATGGTCTAAAGATGTGCCGGTGAAGGACCGGCAAAACCCGTCCGGAGTGCCCACCAATAAGGACACCATTTACGGCAAAGTGTGGCCTTCAGGACCCGCCGCCTTCCCTGACTTTTTCAAGAATAAAACTACAGATTGGTGGGCGAACCAAGTAAAAGCCCTGCATGGTGTTTTGCCTTTTGAAGCACTTTGGATCGTATGTATTAATTACTGATTATACCCCTATCACTTATCATAACCTCTTTTCATGATGGTACGTAGGATATGAACGATCCCTCAAGTTTTGAATCAAAATGTCCGAATAATAAATACGATTACCCGCTGATTAGATCATGTATGTAATAATTATGTACTAAATTATCATAATTGATTTAACAATCATATCAATTGTTATATATTTTAAGCGGCCATTTGGGGCCGACAACTGTCCGAAAAAACGATATGCATGGCCAGCACTCAGGGAGATCAGGAACAGTACCGTCATTATGACGTGCACTCATTATATGGCTTAACCGAGACTATTAGTACACAAAAGTATGTGACCCTAATTTGATTTATTCTTGATGTCAACATTTTGGCTATTATTAACCATTCTTTGACTAAAAACAAACCACACAACCCAACCACCATTTGCCCTCACAGAGCATTACACGCAACCACTGGTAAACGTGGTTTCGTAGTGTCCCGGAGCACATACCCCACATCGGGCCGTTACGGCGCCCACTGGTTGGGTGACAATAGAGCCGAATGGAAAATGATGCACCACTCGGTGGTCGGTATGCTTGAGTTTAACATGTTTGGCGTTAGTTTCGTAAGTACAAACATTCACATATACTCATTGATAAAATTATACATTTATTATTACGACAATATCACACACTCTCTCTTGGCACAGGTCGGCGCTGACATCTGCGGCTTCATAGGGGAGACAAATCCGCAACTGTGCCGCCGGTGGTCACAATTGGGCGCTTTCTACCCGTTTTCACGCAATCATAACGATAGAGGTTATAAAGATCAGGACCCGGCCGTATGGGTGAGCAGAGGGCACCCGGAGGTGACTGAAGCGGCCCGCACTTCACTGCAGCTTCGGTACCAATTGTTGCACTATTTGTATACACTATTCTACCGGAGCTATGTTTATGGCGATACAGTCGCCCGACCCCTGTTTCACGAGTGGCCTCAGGATAACAACACACATATCATTGACACCCAGTTTATGTGGGGCCGGGATATACTCATATCCCCTTTCCTGTTTGAGGTACAGTTTTTCTCCCATTCTCACTTAATATAATAATTATTTTTATTTATTCACAAAACTATCCTATTATGCAAACTCCAGAACCAGCAACACGTGGACGCATATCTACCCCCCGGCGAGCGTTGGCACGAAGTGCGGCCCCAATTGAAACTCGCGCCACAAGTCGGACACATCACTATTCAAGACACTCAACCCAACGGTCCGCCACCCGTCCACTTCCGGGGCGGAGCCATTATACCTATGGTTACAGACTCACAACTGACCAGCACTACCGGTTCAGCTATGAATGAAATAGACCTCGTTGTGGTGCCTAATGCCAAATGGGAGGCCAGGGGTGAACTGTTTTGGGACGACAGAGAGGGCATCGATACCATAGATGCCGGCAAATATAATTTATATTCATTCTCACAATACGCCAATTGTACCATGATACTTACTGTTAACAAGTCTGGATATACCGGTGCCGCACACCTTACTGTCCGCCAAGTGCTTGTACAAAGTACTGGTGTTAAAGAGCACGGTGTGGAGGCTAAGCTAGATGGTAAGGTTGTGCCGGCTAAACATGGTGAGAATGGTGACATAAAAATTTATCTTAATTTGACCCTTGGTGATAAATTGGATCAACGTTATGTTATCACGTGGACCGATACTACAACCAAACAATGCGATATGAAATAAGCAATAGTTTTGATTAAATAGTAATGTATTTTTTAAATGCATTAATTAAATAATATAAAAATAATTTTGCAATAAATTAATATAATTTTATTAACAATGATAAATATTTATTTTTTTCTTAAACTACTACTACCTATTTATAAATAATATATTGAAATAAAAAATAAAAATTACAATGGAATTTATTGATATAGTTGGATTATATAATCAATGGCCTTATTTTATAAAAGAATGTTCAAATACCCACGATACTTATATTTTAATGATAATTGTACAGTTAAATCACATAAATCACTGATTTTCTATTAGTGCAAGTTGTATTTCTGTAATTGCTTTGCACAACATAGTAACCTCAAGGCTAATAATTTATCTATACAGTACTGTATATACGTTGTATATTGTATTGGCCCCATACACTGTATAGATAAGTTATTAGCCTTGAGGTGCACAACTCTATTATGTAATATAACTTGCATTAATAGAAAATCCGTGATTAATATTGTTGCCAATTTTAATGGAAAATTTTAACATTCAGATATCATTATTAAATACAAAAAAAATTAATCTTACATACACATACCGATCCGCGTTTGCAAGTTCATTATGGTTATTTTATCACATAATTTAGTATTATTTAATATTATAGACAGATGTAAATTGTTTTTAATGCAACTACTATCTAAATCTTATAATTGATAAAACAATTAAAATTTCATATAATAATACAAATACATTTGCGCAATACTGTATACTACCTTAGTAACATTATTAACTACTGTATTTTAGTATTGAGCATGATAAAACTGTAGTATAAAAACTAAGGATTAGTGTAAAAGCATTCAATAGGTATTCGTGTGGATTTTAGTCTAAATTTTATGTATACTTTTATACAGTATTTCTAATTATTGGCAAATAATAATAAATCATGAAAACACTGGTGCTATTACTGCTGGCCTGTGCCGGCTGTTTGGCCGAGAATATAAACAATCGTTTGGACTGCTATTTGGAGTGTAAGTATTATTAAAACAATTTAACTCTTTGTTATAAACTATTAACTTTTTATTTTATAGTTTTAAACATTTTGATTAAAAATGTTTTATAGTAAAATAATAAACCATTTTAGAGAAAGAAATGTAATTGAAATTATTATTAATTGTATGTAAATTATAATTTAGTTGATATGCAAGTGAATGAACAGCAATGTAAAGATAGGGGCTGTATATGGGACTCAAAGCCACGGCCCCCGGGAGTGCCCATATGTTATTTAGACCCAAAACAAGTCGGCTATAAAGTGCCCGCAGGTGTCAAGAAGACCGACACCGGACTGGAGGCCGATCTCCACCTCAAAGATACGGCCAAACGTACCCTCAAATCCATGTCATCGATAGAGAGCCTCAAGTTTTCGGTCAAATATATGACTGAAAATATACTCCGGTTTTCGATTAGAGATCCGGCGGTCAAGCGATACGAAGTTCCCGTTCAACAGGTGTTTAATCTGATGGACAGGACTGAGAGAGACGAGCAAAAGCGCAGGTATGCCGTCGACGTCGGCACTGATCTCAACGACTTTCAGTTCACTATCACTCGGAAAGACACCAAAACTAAAATGTAAGTTATGTTTGTCATTAAAATACATTAAACTAAATAAGTTAAATAATCTTTCCTCTCTTTTCCTTACTCTAAAAGTTTTGACACATCGATCGGTGGTTTAGTATTTGCCGATCAATTCCTACAATTGGCCACTAATTTGGCCACAAATAACGTCTACGGCTTCGGCGAGAATGTGCACCAAAGCCTACGACACGAACTGAGTTACAAGACTTGGCCGATGTTTACTCGGGGCCCACCGCTCGCCGAAGTTAGTTAATAACTAGAATATTATTTACACTTTTATATTCTTAATTTCAGAATTTGCAAACAAAATTAATATTTAATGTTTACTTGAAAAACAATTACTATACAAATATGTACCTTGTTGTCTAAACCCACTTACCCTTACCCACATGTAAATAGAATAATCATAATGAATACGGCGTTCACCCGTTTTATACTGTACTGGAGTCAGATGGCAAAGCCCATGGCATATTGTTTCTCAACAGTAACTCTATGGGTTAGTGTTAACTTGATGTTTCTAATTTGAGCACTATTTAATTTATTGGCTAGCACTAATAGTTACTGAATACCTTTCTATACACAGAGTACACACTATTACCAGAGCCGGCCCTGTCTCTAAAAAGTCTCGGGGGTGTTTTGGACTTTTTCGTGTTTGTGGGCAATAATCCGGAGCACGTGATACAATTGTACACATCAGTGGTCGGTAGGACAACAATGCCTCCCTTCTGGGGTCTGGGGTATCAACTGTGCCGATACGGGTTCAAAACCACACAAAGTATACGCGAAGTACTCGACAGGAATATCAAAGAGAAAGTACCTTTGGTTAGTATTTGCATTGAAAACCCTAATTATGAATTTATACCTAGGGTTAACAGGTGAACGCCCGACTATTAAGTTTTACCATGATTAAAATTTTGCTAATTACTCGCTACATAGGATGTGATGTATTGCGACATCGATTACATGGATAGGTTCGAGGACTTTACTTACGACAAGAAAGCGTTCGCCGGCCTCCCGGAGCTGTTTCACGACATGACCACCAAAAACAACATCCATTGGACTGTAATCCTGGACCCTATCATTGAGGCCAATAACCCAAACTACACGTCGTTTAACGAGGGCTACAAACAGGACGTGTTTATCAAATGGGCCAAAGATGTGGCGGTGAAGGACCGACACAACCCGTCCGGAGTGCCCACCGATAAGGACACCTATTATGGCCGGATGTGGCCGTCAGGACCCGCCGGCTTTCCCGACTTTTTTAAAAATCACACAAATGTTTGGTGGAATAATCAAGTGAAAAATTTTCATGGTGTTTTACCATTTGACGCGCTCTGGATTGTGAGAATGTTACCTGTCCAAATTATTTTACATCTATTTTATTTACTTTTTTTCGCCGTAGGATATGAACGACCCTTCGAATTTTGATTGGACTTGCCCGAATAATAAATACGATTTCCCACCAATTCGATCATGTGTGTATAGTTTACATACGCCCGCATTTATGATCCAGTATAATTGGTAACTTTTTTATTTAGCCTCAATATGGGGAGGTTCAAATAGGCAACTGTCCGCAGACAGTGTATGTATGAAAACCACCCAGGGTGATAATGAAGAGTACTCTCATTATGACGTGCACTCGTTGTATGGTTTAACCGAGCAGGTTGTTACACAAAAGTATGTATGATATTTCCATCAATTACAACAATTTTAATATGAAATCAAAATTATTTGGGAAACATAATAACACATTATTTGTTAACTAATATAATACTATTTATTTTTACACTTACAGGGCGTTACAGACAACCACTGGTAAACGTGGGTTTGTAGTGTCCCGGAGTACATACGTAACATCGGGCCGATACGGCGCCCACTGGTTGGGTGATAACTACGCGCGATGGCCGATGATGAAATACTCGGTGATTGGTATGCTTGAGTTCAACATGTTTGGCATCAGTTTCGTAAGTTTATCCCGATACTTTACAGCACACTTCCCATGATGATTTAATAAATATGATGCGTTACCATTGGGTGAGTAGGTTGGATCGGATATATGCGGCTTTAATGATAATACAACGCCAGAGCTATGCCGCCGGTGGTCAGCATTGGGTGCTTTCTATCCGTTCGCCCGCAACCACAACGAGAAGAGTGCCATAGATCAGGACCCGGCCGTATGGGTGAGTAGAGGGCACCCGGAAGTGACTGAAGCGGCCCGCACTTCGCTGCAGCTCCGGTACCAACTCTTGCACTACTTGTATACACTATTCTACCGGAGCTATGTCTACGGCGATACAGTCGCCCGACCCCTGTTTCACGAGTGGCCTCAGGATAACAAAACACATCTCATTGACACTCAGTTTATGTGGGGCCGGGATATCCTTATATCCCCTTTCCTGTTAGAAGTAAGATCTCTCTCTCTCTCTCTCTCTCTCTCTCTCTCTCGCATTGCTTTAGTTTTTCTTCTGTTAACAAATTATAAAATATCTTTGAATGAAAAAACAGCGAATGCTATGTATTTTGAAAGAGTAACAAAAATAATATTACATAAAACAGAAGTTTTGCTTTTATGTGAAATACATTACATTAGACATCATTACCGGCACTAACTTTTGAGGCATGAAATGCAAATACATTTTACTTTTTTGCATCAAAAACTTGATGTTAATTGAGAAAAATTTCAAATTTTTATTCTCAATTCAATAATTTTGAAAAACGTTATCATTTGGGAAAAGATTTTACATAAAGAAAAGTTTTTGTGAATATTTAAAAACTCATAAATCAGAGTCAAAAGTAGTTATTAGTGAACAAATAAATGAAAGCGTTGTTCACAATAAGAGGTATGTTATGTTTGAATGACTTATTCTATACTCTAATATACAATATATTTTGTTTTTTGTGTTATGACTGAAGTTTTTTGTAATACATTTTGATATTACATTTTTAATGGGTTTCGATGGGAAGTGAGCACATGTGTGGACACATTATTAGTGAGAGTATCTAATATTCTCACATTTACTGGCAATACAAGTGCTCGTCAAACACTTTTTGTATAGTATTTTTGTAGACTTTTTCAGTACACACCTTACACTTTGATTCAATTGCTCCTCCAATCTCTCGCACACATAACTCCCTCACAAATAATATTTTTCTCATTCAATTCGTGCGAATTCATACACATTCACCGAAATTGTAATAATTTTTTCCTCTCTTTTTTCTGACGGCAGAGTTAGAGATGTTTTGGGCAAAGACTGAGGGATGATATGTGAAGCGATTGAGATGAGAGAGTATTGTAGTATTTATTTGGGAAATGAATGGTTGGGGCCAATGGTTGGCAGATGTGAAATACATAAAACCTCATTAGACCACATATAGTGAAAAGACAGGTCACTCAAAGTCTTTAGCCATTCAATGGTCTACTTATTTGATTGGAAGCACTTCTTTTGAAGACAACTTTTATTCATGGATTTGTTGTATTCGTGTCTAAGAAGAGAATGCAAATCGTATGCAAAGCACCCAAACTATACGTTATGTTATGCTTTCAAAGCATATCTATTTCACAACTGTTGGGCGCTATTCATGGCATTCATGTCTCTGGACTCCAAATAATATGATAATACCAATGGTTTGGCAAAAGTTGATACCTCTTCCTATTGTATTTGCCATGCATTCTAACGTTGCAAACATTTATTTTGACGCTTCTCTCTATTAGAAGCACTGAGAGAGCAGTAAGTGAGCAGTGAATGAGAGAGAGAGAGAGAGAGAGAGAGAGAGAG